TTCTGCGGGGGAACAGGGGCCTGACCCCTGCAGCTACCGCTCTACCCGAGGAGCCCTTTGGGCATCCCCGAGCCCCGGCCTGCCCATCCCCGGGTGTCGATGCCCACGGGGCTCCCCGGGCAGAGCGGTTTGGCCTAGCCCTGGGTTGGAGCCAGGTGGAAATGTGGGAACCACCGGCGTCCCGCCGGCTGAAGCTTCGCAAAGCACTGGCTTTGCTCCTTCTCCCGGTGCTGTCACCACTGCCAGAGGCCTCCGGCCAAATGGAGCAGAGCTGGGTGTCAGGGCAGCGGTGAACACCCCAAAAACCTCTCCTTGGCTCTCTTGGCTGTTTGGGGAAGCAGTGTGACTGCGCCATACTTCCCCTCCTGGGACAGGGGAATACTCTGGTTGCTTCCACAGGGGGCTGTGCTTGGTTTCACACCTGAACGTTGCTCAGCAGCTGGGCGTTGTTTGGACACTGCGGTGTTTGGTTCAGGATGGGGGAGGGAGTGGTGTGAGTGTAAATTGGAGCATTTTAAGTTGTTCTGCCAGGGCAGCATGAAGGCCGAGGAGCGCATGGCATTGCCATCCAGCAGCCCCCTCACTACTGGCTGGGTCCCCACACAGGTGCCTCCATGCTCTGAAGGTGGGCTGGAAGGTGTGCTGGGCAGAGGAGGAGGAAGAAGAGGAGCAGAGGCGCATGGCCTTCCTCTCCCACGACATCAGCATGCTGCGCCTCTTCGAGACCTTCCTGGAGAACACCCCACAGCTCACCCTGCTCCTCTACGTTATGCTGTGGACAAACAAGGCAGAGCCCTCCCAGGGTGAGGGGCCTGGGGCCAGAGGAGGGGAGCTGCAGTGGGGCAGGCTTGCAGTCAGAGAGAGCTTGGATGGGACAGACCAGATGGGCTGTCTGGGGGCTGCCGGACCTGGCAGGACACACTTAATCTGTCCTTACTTGAGGCGCCATTCTTCTCTCACGTCACTCCTTCCCTTGATGTGACACACAGGAGGGTGGATCCCTGTCCTGCGTTCACGTGCCCCCATGGACTATGCTGGGATGGTTGAAGCTGGGGGACCTCTGTGGTCATTCCCCTGCATGCCCCAGGAGAGGCTGAGGGTCAGGAGGGAAATCAGGAGCCTGCTGGGGAGTGGAGAGATGCAGCTGTGGATGTGGACAGAGGGTGGCTTTGGTGCCTGTCCTGGGGCAGGGAGCAAGTGTCACTGCAGTGAAATGGGGAGCCCAATTGTGGGCTGGTTGGATGGAGCCACTACTTATCTCCTGCCCATGCGGGCTGGGGGATTCCCTGGCTGGCAGATGCTTCCCTGGCCGGGAGACAGGCTCTGCAGAGCTGTTCAATCCTGTTGATTCTTCCCTATCTCTTGGGCAAGGCTGGGTACCAGCCTCCTCGCCAGGGAGGGCAGAAGGCCAGGGGAGAGCTGCAGGTGCTGAGGCCCTGACCCTCTGCAGCAGTGGCTTTGTGAGCCGGTGGGAAGCTCATTTTAGCCATGTCAGGCAGGAGGAGGTTTGTGCCAGGCTGGGCCCCCTTCAATGTGCCCTCAGCATCTCCACCACTGTGTTTGCAGGACTGGGGATCTGCACTGCGTTCCTGTGTGTGACCTGGTCTCTACTGGACTACCACCAGTCCCTGCGCTCCTTCTTGCGGGATAAGTATGAGCTGAGTCGGGGCTCCTCCATCATCTACTTCCTGTGGAATCTCTTCCTCATCTGCCCCCGCATCCTTGCGGTCGCCCTCTTTGCTCTGCTCTGGCCATATGGCATGGCTGTCCACTTCCCGCTTGTGTGGCTGGCTATGTTCTTGTGGGTCAGCCTGCAGGGCACGGACTTCATGGAGTCTCCTGGCCCCGAGCAGCTCTACCGGGCCATGGTGGCCGTGATCCTGTACTTCAGCTGGTTCAACGTGGCACAGGGGAGGACGCTGTACCGCAGCATCATCTACCACAGCTTCATCCTAGTGGACAGCATGCTGCTGGCCCTCTCCTGGCTCTGGTGCCGCGCCCCCTCTGACGAGCACTCATACCTCATCCCAGTGATCTCCGCTGCCCTGCCCTGCTACCTGCTGGGGCTGCTGCTCAGAGTCACCTACTACAAGTGGCTGCACCCCAATGTGTGGGCACAGCAAGAAGGTGGCTACGACGAGGTGGATGCCAATGGGAGGAGCAATGGGCTGGAGTTCCGCTTGCTCTCGATGCCAGACCTTGTGAACAGGCGGATGCAGTGGCTGGCCCAGACCCAGTTCCCCATCTCCTGGCCGGTGGGGCAGCGCTTCCTGAATGGAGCTACTACTCTTGAGTCTGCTGTCTGAGGCCGGCTCCTCCAAAGGGACTTGCTGGGGAGATAGATTTGTTAGTTCTGCTCCTGGTTCCGCTCCCCTCAGGCAGTTGTTTTGGGCAGCTGGAAGGATCTGGACAGAAACCAGGGGTGGTGTGGAAGCAGCCGGCAAGTTCCTTGGCACACAGCATGGCTCCCATGGCTGTGCTCCCACGGTATTCATGGAGGGGTCCAGCATGTTGTGGCTGCGCCTGCACTGCCATGTCAGCTTCGCTTGTTATTTATTACCAGCTTTTTCCAATTAAAACCAAAAAAGATCAACGGTTTGTTCTCTGTCTGTGCCTCTCCTGTGCCTGCTGCCACCACTGCTGCTGGGGGAGGCAGGTGCTGCTGGAGGAGAGCTTGTACCCTCCTTGGCAGCAGCTTGCTGACGTGTTCCCAGCCAGGATTTTCCTCCTCCTGTTTTGCTGTTAAGGTCAAAGATTGGCCAGATCAGCCATCATCACCGTGTTCGGGAAGGGCTGGGGAAGGAGGCAGACAGGGCAGGGGCAGTGGGGAGCCTGCACCTTGGGGAGGGTGTTGTGGGCCAGTGCAGTGCCAGTGCAGGTGGGGGCTCTACCCCTGCCTTGCAGAGTGCTTTGCCTCTTCAAGAATGGGGAAGCACGTTACACTGTGGATTCTCTGTGGACAGAAGCACTGGTTCTGCCCTTTGCCACATTTGCTGCGTCCCTCCCTGCCTTTCCCTTCCTGCTGCAGGCTGAGGGGCAGAGCTGAAGCTTCATGCTTGAAGTGGAGCTCTGGGGCTGGGGCTGGCCACGTCACCCCTTTGCTGCTGCCCTAGACTCACTTTTTGCCTTCAAGCAGCAAATGTTTGTGGGGTTGGGGCTGGCAGGGTGCAGCAGCACCGTGGCGCCCTGTCCTCCTGAGGGGGCGAGTGGCCGAGTCCCCTGTAGCATGGCTTGGTGCTTCTGGCCACCTCGTGGTCCTGTTGCTGGTGTTCCCACCAGCACAGCCTCATGCAGTGCCCAGGCTGGCATTGGCCATAACTGGGTTCTCAGCCATAGGTGGCCACTGGTGTGGACAGTCCGGGGCTGTGCTGGCTCCTGGGCATGGACACTCATTGCTTCCTTGGCTGTGCTGCCCCGGCTCAATGCTGAAACCTCAGCAGGCCCCAAAACAGCCCCTGGCTCTTTTTTGCTGTTGCCCATCCAGCAGCTGGGGCACATCCTGGCTGCCTACAGCCTCAGCGCTTTGGCCCCCCCCTGCTGTCGCCTGGACTCCCGGCAGCACCCTGTCCCAGGAGGGGACACCCCATACCGGGGAAGGTGGGGAGGCAGCAGGCCACAGCTCCAGGAGCAGCCAAAATGCTGTTCCAGGATCAGCCTGTGGCCAAGGACAGTGGCACCACAGCAGCGGTTGGGAGGAGGAAGGGTGGTTGGTGGCCTGGTGCCAAAGGAAGAGGGAAGGGAAGGGTTGTGCAGGATTGTCCAAGCACCACAGCAGAGCCAAGGAGCCGGTACCCTCCACTGCTGGCTTCCACAGGACACCCCACGGGACTGGGGTCTTCGGCAGGTCGCTG